TCCTTTCTATATTTCTGATTTTTAGGGTTTCTCTTGCTCTCTCTATTTTCTATTTTTTTGCAATGTGTGTAGAATGTGTAATGAATGAATCTCTTTCCTGTTTACAGCCCCCTCCTTCTTATCTCTCCACTCTAGGGTTTTCTCTTCTCCCCACATATCAGATTTTTCATGGGGTAATGTCTCTTACCACCTTTTCTCATGTCGCTCTCTTTCTTTCCATTTCCATGCAAGAGGCTATGCTGCATTTTTGCTGTTGCACTTTGCCTATGCTGTTTTTTTGTGCAGCATTTTGTGCCTTGCACCCATTTTGTTGCTTGTGCATGGACAACTCCTCTTGGTCAATGCTACTACTCTTTTGACAGCATTTTGAAATTCTGATTTTTAGATGCATTATCATATGATATTCCCTTGGTCTTGTGACATGTATATTTTGTGACATGAGACAACTTGTTATTTCTTGCATGGGGCTGTTTTGGATTACCTTCATATTGCCCATGAATGAGCATGCATAATCTTAATCTTGAAACATTCCAATGTTGAGTTAGCTCTTAAATGTTTTCTTTGGATGTTTGCAAGCATAATGCTGGACATGTAAACTTGTTGGGGAATGAAGGTACCATAGCATGAAATTAATTAGAAGCTTGGATTAAGACTAAGAGTAGCTTAATTTTTTAAGCATTACCAAGAGCTTGAAACTTTGTAACAAATGTGACACTTTTGCAAATGTCATGAAATTTCTCTTTGTAATATTCTTGAATCTAGTCTTGAATTCATGGATCTTGAACTTTGAATGATGGATTCCCTTATGTCATTATATGAAGTCTTGAATTATGCACTTGTGATCTTGACTCATGTTTTGCAAATTTGAACTCCACTTGACCAAGAATTTGAAGCAAAATTGGATGAAGCAAACTTGGATTTGGCCTTGCATTTCATGTTCATTAGGAACATTTATCTTGAATATCCCAATATTTTCCAAGTAACTTCTTCTTGAAGTAATCTACATGAGTAGACTTTTCAACTTAGATCAAACCTTAGGTGATGAACCTTTTCTTCCATGTATTCCATGATAGGAAATTTATCTCATTTAAAAATGGAAAATAACAAACCGATCCAATCCGTACCATGTGAACCCACATGCTCGATATGAAATAGAACGATGTATGATATGGTGAATGTAGGGTATAAAGGCTAAAGGTGAAAATGAGGGTGTGACAATGATAACACATCAAACGCACCCGTTCACGACGGTAAAAGTTGACAAAATGACACGTTTCAAATATTCTGCTATAATTGGATCATATACTGACATCAAAACCATTTTTCCTAGAAAAAACATCTCTTTATCTTTCCAACGCTTCGAACGGGGACTAAAACCGACTTACGGATCAAGAGATATGAATTTTCGAAGTTTTCTGAAAAACCATAATTTTGCCTAAACACGGCCACGGGATTTTGCATTTTCGCCTGAAAATCCGACCGATTTAATTCTTTTCTCCCGATTAAATATCTACTCATCATTACCAATCATATAGTAACATTTTAGGATCATAAAACGCAAATTCTACGACTTCCGATTTTCACCCAAAATCTTAACCCCCAATTGTCCAAAAATGTCAAAACTCACAAACTCAACCAAATTCGATCAAACGAAGTCCAATAATCACGGCTAAGCATTACCCGACTAAACTACGAAATTTATTTTCGATTTTAACCGTTAAAATTTCGATTCTACCGATTAAACTCATTTATGCCCTAGAATGGGAAAATGGTAGAAACTCTCCAACAATCTCAATCAAACCAACAAACACATACATAATCATAAACATTGATAGAATAACAACATTTCACACCCTTACCTTGATTAAATTGAAGCTAGAAGTTGTTCTTGAGCTTTCCAAGCTTTTTCCCCTTTTTCTCCTCTTTTCTCTTCTTCCTCTTTCTTTCTCTTCTTTTTCTCTTATGTTTCTATTTTTCCTTTCTTTCTCTTTCTCTTTCTCATTTTCACTTATACTCTTTCTATTCTATTTCTATCTAAACATCCACTAATCCATTTCTCATAAAATATCTCAACTTAACATTAAATACTTAATGTCTAAAATACCCTCCAATCCATTTTCCCCGAAACTCTCAAAATCGGTAAAATAGCTTAATATGCAAACATAACATATTAACACATAAATTCCACAATTAAAATATTAATCACCCAAATCAATTAATTAATATAAATAATTAATTATCAAAAATTGGGCTGTTACAACTAGGCCTTTTGTTTCTCGTTGTTTGTACTTTCTCGTTGTTTGTTAAAACAACCAAATGTTATAGGGAAGTAGTGAATGCCTTTTCAAAGGTCCTTTGACTTCTGAATCATCATCATGGCTATCATCAGTGTAGTTTGCAACATATGGGAACCTGAGCGAATAATATGAGTTAACTGAGCGTAGGACTGAAGATCATCACAGAGGTTGGGTGGGCATAAATAAACTTTGAGCCTTTCTCCTTTGTTTCTTAAACCGTGAACCAGATCACGTTACAATCCTCAAAAGACCTAATTGAAGTAAGGTTATTTTGAAAGCATACTACAACAAGGTTGCGTAAGCTGACTCCAAAAGATTTTTGCAAATCAATTATTTTGGCATTACACATTTGCTTTACACTTTGAGTATTTTGAACCGCCGCATTCTGATATGCAACTCTTATACTTTGCATATTTCAAAAGTGATTTTGATTTCAAAAGTTGCATGAACTTTGCATTACCATGTTTGTATGAATACTTTTACTTGCAAACTGACTTTCCTCTAAAGGAATTTTCAAATAGTTGAGAAACTTGAGTGATCCTGTCAAGGGCAGGTCCTTCTCATAATTGATTTACCTAGAAGATCTTTCAAGACTTAGACTGGGGCTAGCCTTCCGAGGGTACAATAATAGCTTGATATCTGACTCTCACCGTAACACCTCTCACTACCATAGTCGTGACGCCACATGGCCAGCATACTCAGTAAGCATTGATCAGACAATGGGTCCTCCAGGGAATCCTCCATCAGTGTACATAGAGGGCTCGGTTGAACGAGTCGTAACCAACACCTCAACAGTAACAGGTGAGATCCAATCAACAACATCAATATCTGACTGGACCACTCGAGCAACCTCCTTAACAACATCCTCAACCACCAGATCAGTAACAGTAACATCTAGCACCACCTCATCTCTAGGTTGCTTTATTAATCGTATCGGTCGGTGTCGAGTGCAACCAGGTGCCCGGAACAAACCACTCTCAGCCAACTGCTTCTGGTGTGAACTGGTTGGGACCACTCGTCCAGCCCGTATCTAGGAAGACTCAGCCTCAACACCCATGGTAGCCCTACTCTGGTCTACCGCTCGATCAACAATTTTCCGTGCAATAGTATCGTCTCTGCCTTTGTACTTCCCTATAAAAGAAGGCAACAAAAAAAAACAGCAAACTACTGGAAATTTTAGAGTTTTCGATATAAAACAAATTTTTTGCACATACCAGAAATTTCAAAATTTTCGGTATAAAATCTCATGGAATATACCAGAAATTTCATAATTTTCAGCACAAAACTAGGTTTTTAAAATTACCGAAAATTATGAAACTTCTGGTATATTCAATGGAATTTTATACCGGAAAATTTTAAATTTCCGGTAAACAATTAATGAAAACAACGGAAATTTTGAAATTTCTGGTACAAAATACCAGAAGTTTTGAAAAATTCAGTATAAATACTCACTGTTTTTGAAATTTCTAGTACTTGCTCCAAATTTCCGATATCGTCCCAACAATTTCAAATTCTGCACTGTAAATTTCAGAATTCTTGAGAATCATTTAACAAAGGAAGTGTCGTCTTTTCATACATTATACGGGGTGCTAGGTCTAAGTAATTGGGTGTCAAGTTAAATACTCTATGGTTTCAAGTGAAATTTGTAGTTTTCTCAAATATAAATATAGTATATTTATGTATTTTAATTTTTTTCATTATTTTATCCTAATATTATTTTTTTATTTTTTAAAACTTTTATCGTCATGTATTTTTATAAAACTAGCAATTTAATTCTCTACTCATACATTTTATTAAAAAAAATACTTAGGAAATGTCTGCAATAGTGGTATAAGATGAAATGAAATGGAGTGGAGATGTAATTAATGTGATTCATTTGTTTGATTTGCAAATAATGGATGAAAAGAAATTGAACATGAAAAAATTCATTTCATCCGATTCCATCCAATTCCTCATTTTTTATTTCACCCAATTTGAAGTACACCTTCATATCATTATTATAAGCAAATTTAACTTTTTGTGATACATTTGACTATTAATGCATCTAATTTATATATAGACTATATACATTAATAGTTAAATGTATCACAAAAAGTTAAGTTTGTTTATAATAGTGAGTAGAGAGTGTATGTAATTGAATAAGATATTTTTAATAAAATAATCAAACAAATAGAAATATAACATTTCTAGTTTTGTTTTGTTTTAATTGATAGTAAAAAGAAATGTTCATTAAAAAATGATAAAAGAGTGGAGAAGGGAATAAAGTCTCAAAGAGTCATGAAACTAAATATTAAATACTTGTATTTATTTATTGCGTGTATTCTTTGTTTATTATAGGAATTATCTACGATTCTAAACATGACTAAGTTTAAACAAGAACATTCTCTTTTATATTAAACTTTGCTAGCCTGTTCATTGATTTGTTTTTATTTTTATAATATCAATTCTACCATATATTTTTTCTTACCAAAAAAACTCTATCATTATTTGAATGGTATATTATTAAATCCACCGAAGCATATTCTTAAAGTCTTGTGGGGTGAGATTTATGATACCAATCGAGAACAAACATCGCATGTCCAGACAAAACTTGTCGTTTACTAGTAGTACATATGTTTATACAATTAAATAATTAAATCTTCTCATTCCTCGCACAAAATAAAAGAAAAAAACAAGAAACAAATTCATGCTTCACATGCACACTCATATCACCAGTGTGTTACTGTTACTTTTCATTGACTGGTCCATTATCCTCTCCCTTGCTTTTGTTGCCTGCAATTCATTCAATCATATACAAAGTTATCTCAAAATGATTCTGAAAATCAAATGTGGTTGTAATGTATTTGTAGTATATGAAAAAAACAAACCTCTTTTTGCCAATCAGTTAGTGCTGTTACAATAGATAATATAATAACATTTAGAACAGATCCTGATAAAGTTCCCATCCATAAACCCTTATCATTTAGTTTTAGATGAAAACCTAATAACACACCCAAAGGAATTCCAACTATATAGTATGCTCCAAGGTTCACATATGCTCCCATTTCTTGAAATCCACCTCCTCTTGCAACCCCTATAATACATTACTAGACACGTTACTAATTGAAAGATTAGCATGATAATTATCAGAGTCGTCTCAATTTTTCGAAGGTCCTGTGTAGATTATAAATCCTATTTAATTATAATTTAAACCGTGACAAATTTTGAATCATGTGGTCTGGAAAGGCGAGGTAGTTATTAGTAAGCAAGTAGAAGTAACTAACCTGAAAGTACTCCGATGAGACTGTCGGCGCTAATGGAAACACAGAGAAGAGGAACCATTTCCGCGATGTAATTCACAACTTGTTCATCATTGCTATAAGCATATCCTAAAATATTTCTGAAACAAAGGAAGAATGTGCTGACAATAATTGCTTCTGCAATTCCAATAATAACAACAACTCTAACAGCTCCCTTAGCTGTCTTTGGTTTTCCGGCTCCTAATTCGTTCGAAACACGAGTACTGCAAAACAAACAATCATTATTATCACAGATTTAGATCCAGTACAGTAACCCGCTTTACACGCTCTTAAAGACGGCCTTAGAAAGAACACAAACCTTGCAGATGCTCCAACCGCATATGGAATGAAGTAATGCAATGTTGTGGTGTTCAGGCTGCAACAGTTAATCAAGATTAAGTTAAAAGATCACAAAATTGAAATTGAAATGAAATTGATTTGACTCACCAGACAGAAAGTATAGAGGTTTCAAGTTGAGGATTAGGTAAAAGTCCAGCAAGTAATGTAAGAATTTCAAAGGACCACCATTCAAAGCTACATGAAAATAAAAATTAGTATAAGAAAATCAAGTGAAAATGAAATGAAGAAACACATGAATTTACCAAAACATGAGTCCAGAAGGAATAGCATATTTGAAGAACTCTGGTAGGTTAAGCAAAGCATGAGTAGAGAACACAATCTTTGTTTTTTGACACGACGGAGAGTACTTCATATAAATCCAAAGCCAAATCACATTCAACCAATAAGAAATTCCAATGGCTAAAGCACCTCCAGTGTGTCCCAATCCAAATTTAAAAACAAGAACCCAACAAATAGGAATGTGCAAAACTAGAGCTGTAACTGAGCTAAAAACCATGGGAAGGATCATACTCTGAGTCTGGAAATATCGAATCAATGCTTGAAGAACCGCGTAACCAAATAGACCTGGAATTAGGCATATGCAATATTCACGAGCTACATGAGAAATATCAGGGTCTTGACTAAACATCAATAGGATTTTATCAGTGAATATCCATACAAGTGATATAGGTAAACAAACTACAATTAGTGTTAAGATTGCACAGCATGTGTAGTTTCCTAGTTTTCCATATTCTTCTGCACCATAGGTTTGGCCACATAGTGTTTCCAACGCACCAGCCATTCCCAACTGCAAACAACATCATACTAATTAGTCGAATTTATCTAATTTTTATATAGATCAGATAGATTAATTATTCAATAAAACGGAAGAAAAGAACATACAAGGACGCTGAAGCCAGTGACTTCAGCAAAAGACATGGCAATGGAAACACCAGAGAATGAAACAAGAATCCCAAGATGTCCAACCATCATAAGAGAAACCACTTGTAGAAGATATTGTGACACAGTGACAGCTACCATTGGAGCTGCCATGAAACTGACCCTCTTGAGTTCTTGAACAAATGTGCTCTCTATCTCATCATCTTTCACTAGCAGTGGTGTTGTGACCTCCTTATCCATCTCTCTAGAGCAATTTTCCATTGTTCATTGTGATCAGTAAAGTGTGTATCTATATATATTTATATATAAATAGAGAAATAGAAAGAAATATTTGTTTCTTCTTCTTTCTGTTTATTAAAATAATAGTACAATATTGTAAAGTTGAAGAGTGAGTTGTTAATCACATACCGTGTACTTGAAAAAGGTGGTATTGATTTCTATTTTAAATAATTGCAGTCAATTATGGAATGTTTTCTAATTTTATATTACTATTTTATTAACATCCATATTTTATTAACATTCACGAGGTGTATTATAAAATTGTAGGCAAAAATATTGTCTAAGTCTTTTAAGTTATTTTAAAGTATCAAATTAGTTCTTAAATTTTTTTTTAACACTTTACTCTTTTATGTTAAGTAACGTTTGCATCGTTGATCTTTATAAAAATCTCTATTACAATAAATTGCAAGCTCATACCATTTGAACTGATTTTTCACGCTGATCACGAATATGCAATCAAATTTATTAAACAAGTTACAGTTCATGAGAATCAGGGAAAAAATGAACAAATACATAATGAAAAATCGTTCAATCCGACCAAAATACACAATCAAATGAAAATTTAATTACATATTCGTTATCAGCGCGAAAAACCAATTCAAATGACATATGAGTCAATTGATTGTAATGAAGATTTTTAAAAAGGTCAACAACGCAAACGTTACTTAACATAAAGGACCAAAGCGTTACAAAAAAAAACTTAAAGAACTAACTTAATATTTTAAAATAACTTAAAGGACTAAACAGTATTTTTGCCAAAATTGTATGATGTGTATATATAAAAAAGACTAATTGATACACCTCGTGAGCAAACGATCCACCACAAGCATCATGAAGTTTTCTTTTTTATAATCTAACAACAACAAAAATTGTTCGGTAATCCTAAATGATATAGGATCATGGATTTCACATATCTCTTTCCTAAAACAACAACAATAAACATTCTTATTGCAAAACTACCCTCAATCAAGGTTCCTGAGACGTCTAATGCTCTGCCCACGCAATTATCGAAGTCGTTTGCTCAAGTTCTTAAAAGAGTTTGTGACATCCCGATTTTGCAACTATCGCAATCGATTATCAAATGAGATTGACCCTTCATCATCATCCTAGAAGAAGAATACAAAGCAGGGCTCAATGAATGCAATAACAATCTTCATGGTAGAGTTCTTTGGGAAAAAGATTCCACGCCTGTCACGGTGGCTTGGTCGGATGTAAAAATTAAAATTGGGAAGGATTTTCGCTTGGCAAAGGTTGCTATGAGTTCACTTTCTCAATTGTTGAGGTGATCAGTGGTTTTTATGCGATATTTTACCGATAGTTTGAGTTAACCTCCTTATATATTTAGTTGCATTTTATATTCTTTTATCGCATTTTATATGTTGGTTTGGTATTTCCATTGTTTTTAGGTTCAGGTAAGCAATCAAGAAGAATCAGAGCAAAAACAAGGGAAAACAACAGTAATTCGAAAGAGTTTTAAAAGTGAAACAGGGGCCTGACACGACCACCCGTGTTACCTGACACGGCTCGTGTCATGAGGACATGAGAAGAGTCAGAGCTTTAGATTCAATAAGCTTAAGCCTAGGTTCGCTAAATCTTTTTGCTTGGACAAAGGATTTCAATCCCTCTTCACATCAAAATAATTCTGCTCAGGAGTGTTGGAGACCTCGAATCCTTTTTGCCATTACAAGTTGCACTGGAATGCCTATTTGTATAGATGATGCTTATTCTAAACCTATAGTAGATAGAAATTTTGGTCAATTTGTTCGTGTTATGATTGATATGAATTTAACTCAGCCAACCAACTACAATGTTCTGATAGAACGTGAAGGATTTGTGTTTTTTTTTAGATATTGAATATGAAAGTATTCTTGAATTCTGCTCTCATTACAAGAGGACTGGTCATGACGTGCAAAATTTTAAGCTTCTAAGGAAAACTGCAACTCATTCGATTCCAAAAACCAAAATAGCATATGTTCTAAAAACTTCTTCGAAACCTCCTAAAGATCCTGTGATACTTGTCGAAGACGAGATTGTTCATAATTCTAATAATAGTGAATGGAGGGAGGGCGATCCTCATTTGGATGTTAACCCTGAAGTCGACATGAACCTTTAACATGTGGAGTTGAGCTTGGTCCAACACAATTCTCTAAATATTGTATCTTAGCCGGCTGAGGATTCAGAATCTCAATTGTCCATTTTGTGTATGCTAGACAAGCTACTGAAGCAAAAGAAAAAGAAGTCACAAATGTGTATGTTGTGTTTCTCAACAACTCTTGGGTGAACTTAGAGGAACAAGGCGATGGGACAAATCAGAATGAGAGTGTCTCTACTACTATTACTTTCAAACTAAAAAAGAAGCAGCCAACCAAGCAAAAGCAGAAGTACACTACTATGTCCCAAGTAGGCCTCAAGCATCTCTCTTTATAAATAGTCTCTATTGGAACATTAGAGGTGTGGCTAATGATCCTTCTAGTTTAGCCCTAAAGAGACTCATAAATATTCACAATCCTGATTTCATCATCATTGCTGAACCCAAAATGGATTTTTTAACGTTTCCAACAATTGGTTTGCCCAGTTAGGTTAAACCTTTTGCATTCAATTCTAAGGAGCAGTCATCTTTTTGGTGTTTATGCATTACAGGTTACTCACCTAATATTATTTCTTTCTCTAACCAGTTAGTTGTTTTTTCCTTTATCATGGATAATTGTTTGTTGGCTTGTGTTGTTGTGTAGGCTTCCACCAATCTCATTAAAAGAAGTGATCTTTGGGAAGGCCTTATCGAACTTCATGTTAAGCATCTTATTCCTTGGTCTTTCTTTGAGGAATTTAATGTTATTATTGGTGCTTGTGAACATAGAGGAAAGAATAGTCATGCCATAAGTCCTATGCTAGATTTCAAGAATTGGTCTGATACCAACAACCTCATTCATACCCCCACAATTGGCGCCATGTTCACTTGGTCTAACAAGCATGGCACTCATTTTTCAATTGAGAGACAACTTGGCAGGTGCATTGGGAACCAACTTTAGTTTGACTTTTATAATCAAATTTCTATTTGTACACTCTCTAAAATTTGCTCTAATCATTATCCGCTGATTTTAGAGATACATATCAACCCTGTTCAAGTTGCATCCCAATTTAAATGCCTCAAACTTGAAATTTTCACAAGGATTACACGAAGTTGATTGAATCTTGTTAGGCTCGGAAATTTACAGGCTGCCACGTGTTTGTTCTGAACAAGAAGCTTCGGCTATTGAAAAGAGAGCTTAGAGGGTAGAATAAAAATACTTTTGGCGATGTCTCTGATAATGTTAGAAGGGCTGATGAGCCTCTTAGTAAGATTCAACATCAAATTCAGATTGGAGCCTCAAATGACATTCTTAAGAAGCTAGAAGTGACTGCTCAAAATGCTCTATTGGCTACCTTAGCCATGAAGGAGTGTTTTTGGAGGAAGAAATCTATAGTCAAATGGCAGTTGAAGGGTGACCGAAACACTGTTTTTTTCCCATCGTGTCACTAAAATCAAGCATAAGTTGAAGCCCATTTCTATGCTCAATCCTTAGGATAGGGTCCTTACTGACCCTAAAGAGATTGTTGATTGCAATGTGATCTATTTTAAATCTCTTTTCTCCACTAACTCTGTTATTTTGTAGGATCTAAACATGGTGGATGAAACCATTCCTTCTATAGTGGATAACAACATGAATGTTGTTCTTACGAGGCTTATCTCTTTGAATGAGATATTTGATGCCATTTTTGCTCTGAACAAAGGCAACGTGTCGGGTTCAGATGGTTTTGGGGATGTTTTTTTATCAGTCCTACTGGGATATCATCAAAGAGGATGCCTCGAATGCGGTTATGGAATTCTTTCATTCTGGTGGGATTCTGCATGGGTTAAACTCCTACACCATTGTGCTTATTCCTAAAATCAAGGGTGTTGATGTTTTAGATCAATTATGTCTCATTACTATTTCGAATTTTAAGTTTAAGTTGATTTCTAAGATCATAGCAGACAGGGTTGCAACTTTAATGTCGTTTTTTGTTACTTATGAGCAGCGGGGTTTTAATGTTGGGAGACATATGCATGATTGTATTGGTTTAGCTTCAGAAGCAATTAATTTGCTGGATTTTAAAGCTTGGCGTGATAATTTGGCCCTTAAGGTGGATATTAAAAAGTCTTTCGATACACTCAACTAGGATTTTCTTTTGAAAGTTCTTCATAAATTTGGTTTCAATTACAAGTTTTGTTCATGGATAAGCAACATTCTCCATTCGACGTATTTGCTCATTAACATTACTGGTGTTTTGTAGGGTTTTTTTAGCTGCTCTCATGGAGTCCAGCAAGGCGATCCGCTTTCATCGTTGTTGTTTTATCTTGCTGAAGATGTTATGCGCTAAAGGATTCTTCAGTTAGTGTCTTCTAACAAGTTAGATATTATTGTTGGGCTGAAGAATTTCATTGTTCCCTCTCATATTCTTTACATAGATGATGTCCTAATTTTCTGCAAAGGTAAAATTTCCAACATCAAAAACCTCATTTCCACTTTCAAATACTATGCGACTGTTTCTGAGCAAGTGGTCAACTGCAAAAAATATTTCATCTTTGGTGGTGCAATGTCATCCTTCCGCCTCAATATTCTTTCTAATTTTTCTAGTTTCAATAAATGTTCCACTCCTATCAATTATCTTGGAGTTCCTCTTTTCAAAGGAAAACCAAAGAAGATTTTCTTGCAACCTATAGCTGGTAAAGTTATCAATAAGTTGGTTCATGGAAAGGTTCACTATTATCTTTTGCTTGTAGGGTGGATTTGGTTAAATCCACCATTCAAGGGATGTTAACTCATAGTATGACTATCTATGCTTGGCCGATGTCTCTTATTTGTGATATTGAGAGGGTGGTGAGGAGATTCATTTGGAGTGGAAAAACCTTAAAGAATTAGGTTATTACAGTGGCTTGGAATAATATTTGTAAACCTTTCGAG